TATATCGCTTACATGTTTTAATATGTATATAGAAAGTTTAATTGTTTAATTGATACATACATGTAACAATTAAACTTTCTATTTAATTTTAATTAATATGTTAATTTGCGAAGCTTATTATGTATGATCTTTGGTGCAGTGAATCATTAAACATAATGCTCCTGATGAGTGAGGTACCTGTACCTTACGAAACAGTGCTGTCGAGTTTCAATATTCATGTAGTTGTGTATTAATTCCTCTATCACCGTATTCACCTGCTCTACAAATACTTTGTATTGAGCACTTATATATATATATATAAATCGAATTAAAACGAAACAGCGTACTGCAATTACAGAATTGGCACCATTATTAGCTCGACTCTGCGCCGTAGGAAATAACCTAATGCTTTTCAAATGCCTCGGATGCGATGTAATATCACCGTCGAGGCCAGCACATACGATGCATTTGCGAGAATTCTGGAAACATTTAACATTTAAACTTTGCAGAACACATCATAAAATATAATTATATGATATTACGATGAGATCTAAAAGTCAATTAGACAAATAAACATAAAGATAAATAGTGTTTCTTGGTTAGTTCGAAATTTAGCAAGCCTTAAAAAGCTAAAGTTTAATTTGGGTAGTTTCACAGGATGTCGAAAGGTCACCTTTCAGACTATTAGACACACAGTGTCACAATCTACCTATTATTTTCATATATTTTATATTGGCATATATGCGTCACTTGTAAATGTTCCACTTCCTTGTAAGTAACCATGACGATACCCACTTTGAAGTGACACAGGAAATATAAAATGATACACTGTACTTTGCTGAATTTTAACAAAATTCTAAAAAAACACAACTAATAAAATTTCTGAAATAAACTATTATTCGCACTCAAATGATAAGTTATTATTGATCAATTTAGTAACTTATTTGTCAGGATAATCCGAACGTGTCACTAAACCTAGCTGCGCTCAGCAATGATCGCGTTGCAGATAACAAGTTGTTAAAACATGTACTATGTTTGTAGTAAATGTGTATGTGTAATACAGTCCGTATTATAATTGCAAATATCTCCCAGAGTTCGTATTATACTGGATAATATCTCCCCGAGTCCGTATTATACTGGCTAATATCTTCCTGAGTCTGTATTTTACTGGGAAATATTACACCAAGTCCGTATTATACTTACAAATATCTCCGCGAGTCCGTATTATACTAGCAAAATCTAGCCGAGACCATATTATAAAGGCAAAGATCACC